AACATTGTTTTGTTCACTCATTAGCAAAAGTATAGACTAAGTGGAAAACAGTCTTCCTTAAAATCTGTTGTAAAAAGTACAAAAGTTTCCATTGTATGTGAGTGTTTTCCTTTATGAATGGTCTCTGTGGAAATCAGAGGTAGCACACCTAGCATATTTTGCTATGGAACAGACTAATTCCATTTGTAATAGAGGAACATCGCACATAATGGCCAGAGTGCAGTATAGGGCTGTCCCCTCTACATTCCCCTTTCCTTTTAAAATTCTTGTGTATTTCAGGTGCTGGATATGACAGTCTGTCCCCTGCCATGGCCCCTTTTTCTGATTGATTCTGCCCCCCGTTATGGGGTGTGTAGCCCTCAGGGGGCATAAAAGGCAGGTGGGTGCTTATGCACAGGGAAGAGGGTCTTGCTGAAGCATATACTTGGAAAGAAAGTGTTCTTAGATTTGGATGAGAAAAGTACACCAAAATCCCGTGTTAATAGCAAATGGTCTTTTATGAATTGGGCCAAAAGTTTGTACAGAGTTTTGTTTGAAGGAAAAATATTGAAACTAAATAGCCACATGAGATTTTTCTTTTTTTTTCTTTTCTTTCTCTCTCTCTCTCTTTTTTTTAAGGATTTTTCCTTTTACATGAGGAGGTCTGATGTGAAAAAGGGTCAAGCATGGGTACCTGGTTAAACACTGCCCATTAAGAAAGCGCTTTCAACATCAGCTAAGTCTCAGTTATGGGTTTGAGAACTATCCTTTAAATTTAAACTTTATACATATGTTCTCTTGGAATTCTTATGGTAGCTTTTGAGACAAACATCTTACCAGGTACGGATTTCTGGTCTCAATACCCATGCCTGCCCTCTAGGAAAAAGAAAAAAAACCCAACACAAGTAATACTGAATTTAAGTAAATGTATACCTCCAAAATACTGAAAACACCCCAAATCAAGAAAAGACAGAATTTGCGTTCTCAGTGAAATATCTTTAAACCTATCTGACAAGAACCAAGTCAGAAAAAAAGACTAACATAACTTTGAGTAATATTCATACAGCTCACTAAGCATTATGGAATAGCATGCATTAATATTGTACGGTTATTTTACATCACCTATATCAGAAGGTTCTGACAGACAGCGAAGGCTACCGGTGTAGAAAAATCTTACTTCAGAAGAGCAATATAATACAGATTTCACAGGCACTACATTTTAATATATCAGGTATTATGCTGGTTTTCTTATAATTCTTTCTGTCCTAAAGCTGGCATTATAACAATGACCAAAAAGGCAAGGATTTAAGTAAACGGAAAGTAGATACCAAAGTTGATATATTCTTTTTTTTTTCAGATAGATTAGTGCATAGTTTTCATGCAGATAAACACTGCTATGCATTTACATTGTTGGAAAGCAGAGTGAATTGAGCCCAAGTTGTCACATTTTTGTAAATCATTTTGCCAGCCTGTAATAGCACCATGTAATGGATTTGCATTAAACATTAAATTGATTTCAGAATTGGTGACACAGTATTCACTACAGTTAAGTGCTATGGAATAGCTTCAATGTTACCTGCTATATATCAAAGCAATTTTCATCCCACTGCTTTTTTATTGGAAAAAATAAAAGGAAAATGTACTCGATACTAATTAGACTATTGCACAGCCTTGGACTTGCTGATGGCATAGCCGGGTTTACTGTCAAACAGTAATACATGCATTGACTTCAAGACAAAATTGGCATTGCAAGACTGATTTGATGAAAATCCTGCCTAGCAGGCAGCGTTCACTTCATGAGACTTTCCTCCAACAGATCTCATGAGATTTGTTTGTTTAGTTTTTAGGTGCCATTGAAGCTCTCCTTACATTATCATGCCGGTTGTGTTTTTAATTTTGTTCGATGGAGGCCTTCTAAAAAAAAAAAAAAGTATTTCCAGAGACACAATGCAAAGTACAATATTAACTGACATTCTTTAAAAAAGAAATCACCACAAGGAAAAAAAAACTGTTTTAGGCTATGTATCTGGGTTTTTTTGTATTTTTTTGTACAGTAAATATTTTATAACACTGTTACTACAAAGCTGCAAAATATATGGAACAAAAAGAAATAGTGAAAGAAAAACAAAGTTAGAGGGATTTTGCATATTCCTGTGGGCTGACTGAATACTGTGGAGTTGAGGAAAGTTTGTGTTTCCTTTACCCTTCAACCTCAAGAGAGGAGGGATGAGGGGGGAATAAAGAGCGGAGACAAAGTATTCCATGGCTGCCTAACTTTAGCCCGTACGTTTTATGATAAAGGACGAGGAATAAAGAATGGCATTGCTGGGGTGCGCAGCACAACAAAAGCAAGTGCCCTAGTTCAAAAAGAGAGGAATGAACTGGTGGAGTAAATTCATGAGAAGCAATTTTTAAATCTTTAAATTTGGGGATGGGGTGGGGGAGGAAGGAGTTGAGTATGGGTCCGTATTTGTGTCTGACAAAATTTCCAAAGACGGGATGGAGAGGGAATAAAAGTTGTTTGTATTATTTTTTAACAAACTAATAAAACAATTTAAAAGGGGAAGGAAATGTAATCGGATTCTGAATTAGGGACTAACACTGTTGGCCTGAATCTTGCATGTTTTCTTTATTGTAGGCTGCACACCCCGAGCAGCTGTCTTGCTCAGAACTCCAGTCTTTGCTTTACTTTGAGGAATAAAAAACTGTTTGTTCTCCATACCTGAACAGAACTGAACTGCTGTGTTTTCTGCATGGTAATAAGGTGAACAGAAATTTAATTTAGTGTGTTTAATACTTTACAACCACTGTTGATTAACACCCTTGACCGCCTACCTAATGTTTTAAAGCCTTTAAAACATTTTCTTCTGCAATTCTGATCAGAATTCCCTAACTTTAGCGTCATCAAACTTAATGCGACAAAATACCTTCAAAAATACAGCATACCTGTACTGTCCATTTACAATGGTTCTTCAGTAGCCTATACTTCTCAAGCATAGGAATATGCTATACCATTGAGAGAAGAAAAATAACTGTATTTAAATACATACAAAACGGAAACAGGAAAGTTTTTAACTTAAATCCAGTTCCCAAAGGGAAAAAAAAGCAATTCTATGAACGCTGCCTTTATAACGAACAATCAGAAATTCCACTAAGCTAATTTGACAGAAATTTGTCCTCATTTAAACAACATTACAAAAGTCCTGCATTATAAAATAGGGTAGAATAAATCAGTGTAATCAATAAAACTATACAACATACAAATTACATATCTTCTGAGTGGGCAGTTTAATTCTCTCTCTTTGCAGCCATGACTACAACATGCTCACTAAAAACAACTAACTGCCCAAACTATTGCTTAAGTTTGTTTTGTTTAAAAAAGGGTGCAATTTTATTGTATATACAACCAATTTACTGGTAATACCTTGGCTTATAGCAAGGTTCTGACAAAATGTTTGTCTAGGCTTTTTTCCCTTCACTGTGAAGCACTGAAAGCTGCTATTTTTTTAATTTTATTATTATTTTTTTTAGTGCACATATGTCTTAATAAAGTAATGCCCAGCTAAGTGCTATAGGGAAGGCAAAGGATGCTGGCTAGAGGATGTGATACCATATACTAACAATCACACAATACAACAGAGCAAAATGACTACTCAACCACTTATCAGACACATATGAAAATCCAAAACATTTTATTTTTTCCTTAAATAGAGAATAACCAGTAAACAATTTTCAGAACTTGGAAGTTTAAAAACGTGCATATAAAAATGGGCATTATATACTTTTGTTGAATGTGGCTTGATTGCAGTCTGCTAATAAAAATGGGTGTGGGATCTGAAGAAAAAGGAAGTTTTTTTTTTTTTTTAAGGCTTGCTTGTGAAAGGAACAATTGTAAAACAAAAATTGCTTGAAGCAGGGTTCAGCTTAGTGCTTCACAGTTTGACTGCTTCTCTAAGAAGAGCCCTTCCTGCATGTGCATTCAAAATCACATAAGTACAAAGACAAACACCTAAAACACACTGCGTCAAGTGCAGCACCAACTTTGGTCAAATAAAAAAAATTAAAAGAAAAATTAATAATTGCTAAGCTTTTCTACATGATATAAGCAGGTATTGCATATTTTCATATATCTGGGAAAAACAAAACAAAAGGAAGACTCCAAATAAAATGTAAAATGCAGCAACATCCAAAAATACTGATAATCTAGCATCTACAGATCTCAGAATAGCACTGCCACTGACCATACAGGACAATAAACACTACTCCTATCTGCGGAACAACTAACATTCTATTTAATTCTAGATGTTGAAACTGACAATGGCTGACATAAAAGTCACATTTACAAAAAGTGTCTCCAAATGCTTGACTAGGGAAAAACCCCTTTCAATATAGGAACATGTGCAACAATTCCACAAATAATCGCTATCCAGGGCAAGGCACATTGATATGGAATTTTTTGTTTTTGTTTTTTTTTGTTTCGTGCAAATTAAGAAAAAAAACATTGTTTCAGGGAAAAGATGAGGAGCAAAGTGTCTTCCCAAGAATTTCAGTTACTTGATTGTATAGGACAGTAGTAGAAACCCTTCTGAAGGGCCGTACAAACATAGTTTAAAGGCAAGTGCCTGGAATAGGGATTACAATATTGTGTCTTAATGCACTCTACTTTACCCTACATTAACTATATAAAAATTAGTTACTAACACTAGAACATGCAGAGACTTTCTCTGATTAGCTGGACTTGCCAACCAGAACGTATATATATGTATAGTATAGGAAACCTTCTTAAAGTCACATGTGAAGCAAAGGGATGCTCCGCTGTCTGATAGGAAAAATCACTTGCACTCTTTTTTTTTTTTCTTTTTTTCCTTTTTTTTCTTTTTTTTTTGTTTTACATAAGATACAGGACGTTTGGGGTTCCGTAAACC